GTGCTCCCTCGTTTGGTATGTGGCTGTTTACTGAGCACCTACCTGCTCTGTGCTGGGCCCTGTTTGAGGCCCTGGGGATTCAGGGAAGGAGGGGGCTGGTCAGCTGGAATTTGTACATACCTTCCAGTCTTCTCTTTGATCCTTGCAATCTGGAAGGCTCCGTGGTGCCATGGAGGTACCATGGCTCTGTACCAAGCAGTCGTAGCTTGCTTTCACACAGCTGGGGCCCAACCCCAGGCTTTCCTCAGATGAGCAAGACAGACAGACGCGGCCCTCAGCGCTTGCTTTTCCTTGGGGGGGGTAGTCACCAAGCATGCCAAGATGGATACTGTCGTGCTGGGCAGTGACTCGTGCCCTCACAGAAGAGGAGAGAGCAGGATAGGGGGCTGGACTGGGCAGCTGCTTTAGCGTGGGGATCCCTAAGGAGGCGCCAACTGAGCAAAGAGCTGGAGGAAGCCAGGAATGAGCCATGCCCGCCGCCCCCCCTTCTGCTTCTCATCCGCTGTCTGGCTTCTAGTGGCCAGAAAATCCATTGAGGTTCAGATGGAGGTTAAAAGCCCAGGCCCTGCTTTCTACCTGCCTTCCTGGCCCACAGGAATCCACGGACCCTCTCACAGGGTCACACGGAAGCCAGGGGTTCAGTGGAGATGCAAACCCTGGCCAATGCCAGAAGCATCTTCTGGGGAGATGGGGGCAGCCTGGGGACAGATCCCAGGCCCCGCCACAAGGTGGCAGGGGACAAGTCCTGGGAGAACCCAAACTCGGCCTATTGGCTGCGAGTCTCTCCAAGATTCCAGGAGACTCCTGAGAGGCGGCCAAGCCTGACCCTGACCCTCTCCTTCCTTCACAGGGCAGAGTCCGAGGTGTCCCCCAGACCAGCCTCTCCCAAGGTCAGTAGCAGTCCCTCGGAGGCAGCCACTCCAGCGGAGGACGTGGCTCGGAGGAGTAAGTTGGCAGGGGGAGAGAGAAGGGGAAAGAAGGTGCGCAGGGAGAGGGCCCATGTTTTCAGATAGCTGGCGAGGCCAGAAATCCAGGTGGCCAAGAGCACAGGTTTGCTGCCTGACACTCTGGTTCAGATTCCAGATCTGTGACCTTGGGCAGGTGACTGCACCATGTCTGCCCCTCCTCCTCTGCGTCATGGAGCGGTAACCACACCTGCTCTGTAGGGCAGTTTGTTAAATGGTGCTGCCTGACTCACACCTGGCACACAGTACATGCTCGATGAAGCTCAGGCCTCATGGGGGGTGGGGGGCTGTGGAGTCCGCCCCTCCAGAAGTCCAGAGAGTGGAGTGAAGAGGAGGGAAGGGGGATGGAGGCTTCAAAGGGCAACGAGAGGGGGAGGTGGTGGTGGTGAGAAGCAATTTGGGGCTCCCCTGTGCCCCTCTGGTGCACGTACCTGTTGACTTGGCCTAAAGCCAAGCAGGTGAGAAGGCCCAGGGTTCAGATGGGGAGACCCTGCTAGGGACCAGGACACTTGGGAGGGCCCAACCAGCCCAAGAGGCACTGGAGTTTTCTACATGGGGGGTACAGCTGACAAATCACAGAGGGACCTTCCCGCAGGATGGGGCGTCTAGGGATATGTGCTCACTGGAGCATAGCACCTCAAGTGCCCAAAGGTCCTCGTGCCAGCCCTGGGAGGTCCAGGCTTGCATCCCATCTCCCCGATGAGGAAACTGAGGCCCCAGGGGGCATGTGATTTGCCCAAAACCCACAGTGGGTGGAGGCAAGGCTAGGACCAGAGTCAGGCCTCCTGGCCCCTCAGCTGCCTCATGAGGTTGGAACGGTGCGGTGGGATCTCTGAAAACTAGGGTGGGGGGTTTCTGGTGGGCTCCTGAGAGGTGAGCAAGACCCCAGAGTCAGGGGGGACAGCTAGCATTTCTTTGTTCAACAAATACATATTGAACACCCACTCCGTGCCCCCAACACTGTGCTAGGCAACCTCACATAGGATGGCCTCACTTCGTTTACCTTCTCATCAGGGAGTCGAGCAAAATAAAAACGGACATGCTCCTTTCAGAGGGCAGAAAGCCCTATGAAGATACAACAGGAAAATATGACAGTACCTGGAGCAGGGCAGGGGAAGGGGTACTCTGGCTGAGGGGGTGAGGCCCATAAAGAGAGGCCGAAGTGATGAGGAGCCAACCGTGGAAACAGTATTCCTGGCAGAAGGAATGGCAGATACAAAGGTCCTGAGGTGGATGCCTAACTGCCCCTGTCCTTCCTCCACAGCCAAGCGCCAAGCGCCAGCCCGGCCCACCATGCCGCCCCCCCAGGTCTCCAGCACGCGCTCCTCCCCTCCAGCCCCACTCCTGCCGCCTGGCTCTAGCAGCCCTGTGATCCCCCAGGCTCTGCCCCGCCGTCTGGTTAGCAGCAACCTCCGGGCCCCTACAGTGCCACCCCCCTTGCCCCCCAATCCTCCCCAGCCCGCCCGGCGCCAGAGCCGGCGTTCACCAGCCTCCCCCAGCCCCGCCTCCCCAGGGCCGGCCTCCCCCAGCCCTGCTCTGAGCATTCCTGCTCAGGTGGACCTGGGGGCGGCCCCAGAGGAGGGAGGGGCCCCTGAGGCTGTAGGCGGGGCCTCCACTCCCCCGGCCATCCCCCCTCAACCCCGGCCCAGGAGCCTTGCCTCAGAGACCGACTGAGCGGGCTGCCCCTCCGCAGCAGCCCCTCAGCATCTCCTCCCTCCCACCTGTCCGCCCAGGACACAGCCCTCACCCCTCCCCGGGGTGGGGGCCTCCAGCTTTTGCCTACAAGTGCCTCGGTGCCCGCTGGGTCGGCCCCCATGGCAAGGAGGACTCAGGACAGTCCTCCACCTCCAGACCTTTCCCTCTGCAGCCACCCTGGGCTTGGGGATCCCTCACCCGACTCGCAGCTCTCTGGCAGGGTCCCCGGGGAGCGGCCGGAAGGAAGGAGGGGCTTGCCTGCTCCTACAGGACTGTTATTTTTCTCTTGCCAACAGATTGTTTTGTAAGGCTGGTAAATAAATTATTTTGGACAAAACTAGAGCAGCTGCCCCAATGATAGTTGGGTTGTTTCTTCGGCCCTCAAAATAAAGAAGCCACTTGCATGAAAGGGAAGATACTTCCTCTTCTTTGCCTCCTTCCTTTCTTCCTATCTGAAAGAAAAAGGGCCAGCATTTTCAGCGCTTACTCTGCGCTCTCCACTGTGCTTTTCCATGCATGGTTTCCATAGAATCCTCTCCCGGGAAAGTAAGTCCCATTACCTTTGACTGGTTGAGGAGAGACTGAGGCTCAGAAAGCAACCTGCCAGGCACACAGCAAGTGAGGCGTGGACATGGAATCAGGACCCATTTCTCGCCAATTCCAGAGCCTGGGCCTGTCCCTCACAGCCTGAGCAACTCACTTCTTAGTGCTCCAGTTTCCTCATCTGGGAAACAGTACAGCCATCTCCACCCCAGGAGTGTTCTGAGGATTACACGAGACATTCCTGTAAAGACCAAAGCACCACCCTTGCACACAGAAGCACCCTAAGAGTTGGCTGCGGTGGATGTCAGCTCCCCCAACTCCTGGTGTTTTCAGAGTAGGCAGGAAAGGCTACTCAAGTTGCAGGGCTGGATCCGTCTGCAAACCACGGTGGCTGCTCCGTGCTGGACCCTGGGCCAGGGCCCCAGCTCAGCCCTACGCTCAAGGAGCTCCCGGGAACAGACAGGCAGGAGAGCTGACAATCAGAACCAAGCGTAATGGCGCTAGGAGCCCATGGCAAGCCAGTTAGGGGCTGACAAGCTAACCCAAACTCTGTGTGGAGGGCACAGGAAGGCTTCGTGGAAAGAGGTGATTCAAAGAGGAGGCTTTTAGGAGTTGACCAGGTGAAAAAGGGAAGAAGGAAGAACATTCCAAGCTAAGGAGACTACCTGAGACAGGAGCCAAAGGCCAGGGCATTGGGGAACAGGAATTATTTGAGCCTCAGAGAGGGGGGACACGATAGGGTGGCTTTTCCCAGGCCTCTGGAGCTCTGGTTGCTCCTGGAGGTCAGGTCTCCAGCGCCTTCTCAGAAGTTGGCTGACAACTTGGAATTGTGACACATGCCTCCCCAGGTGGGGGCCGAGGCAGCCACATCACCCCAATCGCTGCCCTGGGCAACTGGCTACTGCTCTGGCTCCTTCCATCCCCAGGGTGCTTAGTGATTGGCTGCCTCTGGCAGCTTGGTGACCCAGTGCCTCTCCCCACCCTGGCCTTGGGTAATTAAAAAACAAAAACCGAAAATATCTCCGCCCCACCCAAAACAATTAAATCAGAATCTCTGGGGTGCAGCCATGCTTTGATATTTTTAAAAAGCGTTTGTCAAAGTCATCGAGCCGTACATTTAAGATCTGCTCATCTTACTTGTATGTAAATTAAATCTCAAAACGTAAGTTCCCCAGGGGACTCTACCAGCCAGCGTGGAGAACGACTGGTCTGGGCCAGGGACCCCCGCGCTCGAGAAGACACTATGTGCCTCTCTCCCATCATCATACCGACACGCTTCTCAGGCCTTGGCTCAGTACTGGAGCGTCCAGGGTTCAGAGGGCAATGAGATTTGACCCAAAGGCAACATCTCCTTTAGCATGTTTTCCTCCTAGCAACCAGCTCTCCTAAGCTTCCGATTGGCTGGGGAACGCAAGGGAGGCTAATCGCTCCAGATTTTCTATTCATAACTCTTTATTGGCCAAGAAGAACGTCAGTCCATCCTTTAATTGGCTAGTCGGGGTTGAAACTCGGCGGCGACTGGCCTAGCAGAGCTAGGGGGCGGGGCGAAAGCTAGGTCTTCATTGGTCTCCTCCCCTCAGCGGCGGCCGAGATTTACCCTTTTCTCCCCGCTCCGTTAGGTAGAGGCCTCGCTCCTCTCCGAGGTTCTCGCCCCCATTGGCGCGCGGACCAGGCCGTGACCCCGCCCCGTGGCCCTTCCGGCGCGCCGATTGGTCGCTGCGGGGAACGGGGCGGGCTGAGGGCAAGCGCGCCGTGCCCGCAGAAGGAGAGCGGCGCGGCGCGGCGCGGCGCGGGGGAGCAGGCGGCCAACCGGCTGCATGGCGCGCTGCGAGCGGCTGCGCGGCGCGGCCCTGCGCGACGTGCTGGGCCGGACGCAGGGGGTCCTGTTCGACTGCGACGGAGTGCTGTGGAACGGCGAGCGCGCCGTGCCGGGCGCCCCGGAGCTGCTGGAGCGGCTGGCGCGGGCCGGCAAGGCGGCGCTGTTCGTGAGCAACAACAGCCGGCGCGCGCGGCCCGAGCTGGCTCTCCGCTTCGCGCGCCTCGGCTTCGGGGGGCTGCGCGCCGAGCAGGTCTTCAGCTCCGCGCTGTGCGCCGCGCGCTTGCTGCGCCAGCGCCTGCCCGGGCCGCCGGGCGCGGTGTTCGTGCTGGGCGGCGAGGGGCTCCGCGCCGAGCTGCGCGCCGCGGGGCTGCGCCTGGCGGGGGACCCCGGCGAGGACCCGGGCGCGGCCCCGCGCGTGCGCGCCGTGCTCGTGGGCTACGACGAGCACTTCTCCTTCGCCAAGCTGAGCGAGGCGTGCGCGCACCTGCGCGACCCCGACTGCCTCCTCGTGGCCACCGACCGCGACCCGTGGCACCCGCTCAGCGATGGCAGCCGGACCCCCGGTGAGCGCGGGGCTGGCGCGGAAACTGAGGTGGGGTGGCGACCTGCGCTCTCCCCTCCACGCCTAGGGAAGAGGGGCGAAGAAGGGGTGTCTCCAGGTGACAGGTGGGGACCCGGAGAGATGCGAGGGCGGTTCCCACCCTGCAAGAGCCCAGGCGAGCTTTGTCATTCATGGCCACGTCTGGTGATTCTTGAAACTGCCACCGCTTGAGGGGCAGTAATGGGGCCCCCGTTTAACGGATGAGGAAACAGAGGCCCGTTGTGGTTCAGGGGGTTGCAGGCGGACTCCCAGCCCCGGCCTTCCCGAACCCGCCTCAGCGACCCCTGTCATTTTGTCCCACTCTCCAATCAGGGGTTGAGGTCGGAGGGTTGGGAAACAGCCTGGAAGGATTGTTCCCTTGTTGAGCTGTTGGAACACCATTGGCAGCCGCCGGTTGTAGGCGGGGGTGTGAGGAGCATAGGAGGTGGATGGAGTTTGACCTGAGTTCCAGTTCCAGCTCCAGGACTCAGTAATCTTAAGTTACATAACCTCGGAGCATCGCTGTCCCGGGTGTAAAATGGGGAGGCTCACCATGCCATTTCCTCCCAGGGGAGAGTGATCAGGGTGACTGCCCGGCACGTAGTAGGTGTGGGTTGTATCCAGAGCCCTCTTAGGTTATTACAGAGCTTTATGAAGTACCTTGCTCTTTGTTCTTACTTAGTTTCTAAATTACTCTGGAGATGACCCATTCTCAGTTAAAGAAACTGAGGCTGAGAGAGGGGAATTGAGCTGCCCAAGAGCAGGAGGACCTGGGGGCGCCTGGGTGGCTCAGATGGTTAAGCGACTGCCTTCGGCTCAGGTCATGATCCTGGAGTCCCGGGATCGAGTCCCGCATCGGGCTCCCTGCTCAGCGGGGAGTCTGCTTCTCCCTCTGACCCTCCCCCCTCTCATGCTCTCTCTCTTTCTCTCATTCTCTCTCTCCAATAAATAAATAAATAAAATCTTAAAAAAAAAAAAAAGAGCAGATGGTAGCAGAAGATAACTGCCAGTGCTAAGTGTGTGTGGACAAGTCAGTACCCCAGTCAGTAGCCTGAGGGTGGGGATAGATCTTCACTCCCTCCTTGCTGGCCACTCATTTAGACTGTCACTGGTACCAAATCCTGGGGGAGCGGGGCTGGTATTGACTGAGGAATAGACACGGTATTGTGATGGGGGGCAGGAGGGGCGTAGAGCCGAGGGGATCTGGGAAGGCTTCCTGGAGGAGGCATCCTGCAGGACAGGGCAGTAGGGGATGAAACGTGGAGCAGGGCTTGGGCCATGGCAGAACCGATTCCAGGCTGGGAATCTATAGTTCTAGGCTAGTTCTGTCCTCGCTCTGTTGCAGACCTACTTGCTGCGTGTTCCAGTTTCCCCAAAAATCCAAACTGGGGGCTCTGGTCAGGGCTTTCGGCTGCAGCAGCTCCCGCCTGTCCTGGGCCATGCTGTGAAAAGTGAGTTTCTCCCTGGAGGCTTCAAAGTTCAGGTTAAGGCTGTGGGTTAAGAGGCCCCCTAGGACTCAGGAAGGGTGGTGTGGAGGAGCTGGGGACAGGCCAGGCCCTGCCTATATGCCTCTGCCCCTTTCATCTCCAGCCCCACCTGGCTGTGTCGCAGGCCCTGTTGATCTTTCCCACGACCTAGAGGGGGAGGTAGAGGCTTAGCTACAACACGGCTGTCATCTTCGTACACAACTGAATGATGTGGCTTTAAAACAGTGGTGTAAAAGTATTAATAAAGGCCCCGATATGCATAAAATCTGAAAGAATGCCAGTCTCTCACCCCAATGCCTCCTTCCCTGTGGGTCTCCTAAATTGTGTGTTTACCTTCTTGCCACATGGCAGCCACTTGAACTGGCAAATAGAAATGCCTGCTGAGGAATATGTCACCACCAAAACATGTGTCAGCCTTGGATTACAGGATGTTGGGTTTTTTTGTTTTTAAGATTTATTTTAGAAAGAGAGAGAGCATAAGAGCAGGGAATGGGGCAGAGGGGGAGGGGCAGAAGGAGAGGGAAAAGGAGAGAATCCCAAGCAGACTCTGAGCTGAGCACAGAGCTGGACGTGGGGCTCCATCTCACAACCCTGAAACCATGATCTGAGCTGAAACCAAGAGTCAGACACTTAACTGAGCCACGCAGGCGCCCCAGATTATAGGATGTTAAATGAAGGGGCATAATGGGGGTCTGAGGACAGAGCTATATGTTCCTAGACGCCCCTGCTAGGATGCTCATGCCCCTAGGGTAGGGATCCGTGCTGCCTTCCCTGATGTATGCCCAGTGCCTAGCAGAGTCCCTGGCGTGTAGTTGGGCCTCAGTAAATATTAGCTGAGTGCATATAGTGGGACATGGGGGGCCAAGGGTGATCAGCTCTGTCCTGGTGGGAGAGGAAGTTGCTGACGCAGCTGAGACCATTCTGGAGGGGAGAAAAACACTTTGGGGTGACTCAGTTGAGCCCTTCCCATCCTGGAAGGAATTTTTAACCAACGGGGCAAATGGCTTTTCTTCCCTACCCAGTTATCAAGAAAACAAGTAGGCAAGCTCTAGGTCAGATGTCAGGAAGAACCTCCCAGCAGCGTTGCTGTGCTCTGGGTCAGCTCTGCCCTGATCCCATGACCCTGGGGAAGTTCCTCCTCCTTGTCTGGGGGCTGGCCAGGCTGAGGATTCTTTGCTATTTGTGCCCGTTCTTCTGTAGCTTTGACTTAATAATGGGGGGGGGGGTTGAGCTATACCATTTCCCAGTCTCTGTGGTGTAAATACTCCCACCATAGCAAGGTTCAAGCTGCCAACATCAAGTCACTGAATGTGGAGTTGGGAAGATTTGTGCACACCATTATATAGTATTTCCATCATTATAGATGTAAATAATCTCCAGAGCATAGATAATGGCAAAATAATTAGGAAGTAATGAACTTTGAGAATTTATTACCTTGGTTTTAAACATAATTAGACCATAAGTTTATATAAGTTGACTTTTTCATAGTGGCTTTAACAACGGGCTCACAAAATTCCTGAAAATGAAACATTCAGCACTGCCAAGCCAGTACCAGCTGGTCCAGTACACGACTGGGTCAGACCCACCTGAACACATACCCTGTGTCTGCCATTATTAGGCTGTGCGACCCTGGATAAGTTACTTAATGGCACTGAGCATCAGCTTTCTCATCTGTAAAATGGGCTTCTGTGAGCAGCCAGCACAGCCCCTGGCACTTTAGAATGTGCTTAGTAAATTGTGATCATCATCATCATTTGTTCAGGGACATTAATGTGAAGGCCGAACCTTGTAGCACAAAGACGGGCCTGTGGGACGGACACAGTGGACTCATTGTTTTGGGGGGCAGGACGGTCCTGGGCTGAGAGTCAGGGCTGTCCTTTTCTAAACAGTCTTCCTATTGTTAAATACTTGGGTGCTTTCACAGTTTTGCTTATTATAGTTACTGCAGACACGGACATCTTCAGGCATGTAGCTTTTTTGTCTCTGGCTTGAATTCTCTCCCTGTGATCACTTTCCTGGCCGCCGAGGCTGACTGGGGCCGAGACGCGCACATTTCTGTGCCCTGCCTCGTTCTAAGAGGGCTGTACCCGTTCCTGCTGCCAGGAACCCACATTCTTGCAGCAGTAACCACAGCTTCTGTCTGTTTCCCTGGCACTTTTATCTGCTTTTCTGTTTCCCAAGCAGTTGCCCCTGCAGTGCCCACAGCACCTCTTTGAAGGTAGGCCTGACTTGGATCCCCCTGTTCCAAGGACTGACTGAGCCAGGCCCAGTTACACGCAGTGTGGTTCATTCAGCCCCTACAGGGCCATATTAGAGATGGGGAAACTGAGGCACAGAGAGGCGAAATGGCCTGCCTAAGAAGGGTGGAGATGACAGAGTCTGAATGCAGGCCTCTGGTTTCAGGCCCTGTCCCTGTAACCACTACAATAAGACTTGGAAGACTTTTGACTCATTTCAGTGCCTAATCTAACCCCCCACGCCAAGCTGCCTCCCTGGAAGCCCAGCATCCGAGCCGGGATGCCCTCCCTGCTGCCACTCGGCACTGACCACGTCTCCCATCTCCCTGCAGGTACCGGGAGCCTGGCTGCTGCCGTGGAGACAGCCTCGGGCCGCCAGGCCCTGGTGGTGGGCAAGCCCAGCCCTTACATGTTCGAGTGTATCACCGAGCACTTCAGCGTGGACCCCGCCCGCACGCTCATGGTGGGCGACCGCCTGGAGACCGACATCCTCTTCGGCCACCGCTGTGGTATGACCACCCTGCTCACGCTCACAGGTGTCTCCCGGCTGGAGGAGGCCCAGGCCTACCTGGCGTCTGGCCAGCTCGACCTCGTGCCCCATTACTATGTGGAGAGCATCGCGGACTTGATGGAGGGGTTGGAGGACTGAGCCCATGTGACTGGCACTGCAGCCCCCTCCCTCCCCGACCCTGATCCCGTAGATGGCGGCAAGGGGCCAAGAGCTGCAGGCTCCTGGGCCCCATTTTCTGCAGCTGCAACTGGTGGGGTTGGGACCCAGGGAAGGTTTTCGGGCCCTCACATCCCCTCCCAGTGGTGGCTGGGCACTCTTCGCTGTTCCAGAAGCGGTCCCCCTCCCCCCACCAGTTCGCCCTGGCCCAACCAAGCCAGGTGGCCTTATTTCCTCGCCTGTGACCTCCCCTCTTTGAAATCGGGGCCTTGATGCCCGCTGAAGATTTCCCCCAACCCTGAACACTTAGTGCCCTAGTCCCTCCTGGGGCGGGGTGCGGGGGGGGGGGTTGCCTCTAGAGCTCTGTCTGCCCCTGGAGCCCTGGCCCTGGGTTCCTGTTGACCAATCAGAGGCCTAGGTAACCACTAACCCTCCTGTGCCCTGAATGGGCCAATCAGAAGGCTAAGCAAGAGTGACTCATTGATGGGTCTGTCCTGAGGGGTTTCATTGGGAACCTAAAGTGACAATGACGCTTTGATGTTCTGAAGCCAGAGTGGACCAATCGGAAGGCTAAGTGGCAATGACCCTTTCATGTCCTGGGTCCTGTGAGACCAATCAGAATACAGAGTTACAATGACTCATTGGTCTCTTAGATCCTGAAGAGAACAATCCAGAAGTCTGAGAGACAGTGGCCCCTTGACGGTCTGGATCTGACTGGACCAGCTAGGGGTCCAGATGTCTGTCAGTAAGTAAGGGTCCAAGGGCTGAAGACACCCCTCCACAAAGATTGTGATCCGGGGGTCCACGCAGTGGCTCTGGGGGCTTCTGTAGTGGAGCCCCACCCTTCCCTGATGATGGTACCAGACCAGCGTTGGTGGTGGCCACAGCTCTGGAGGGCGGGGCTTTTGTGTCCCTCCCTGTGCTGTCCATGTTTGCTGTGCCACCTCTCCCCCCCATGCCCACCCCCAGCTATTTATTTATTTATTTATTATCGTGTGCCAGTGTCGGTGGGAGTGGGGGCTGGCCCTTCCCACCGCTTCCACCTCTGTTGTAACCGGTCCTCTTGTACTTAATAAAGTGCGAGTGGAGTGTCTGTGTGGGCTCAAGTCTGTGAGCAGCGGGGCGGGAGGAGGACCCCCTGCCTGCGCCTGGTCTCCACAGAACTGGCCCGGTGCTTCCTTCCCCTGCGTGAAATGACCCACCTCAGGACCAGAGCATTTTCTGTGTGTAGAACTTACTACCTTAACCTGATGGCACGTTGTGCCTCACGGCGCGGTTAAATACCAATTTCTTTCAGTCCTTCAGAAGACGGCGAGCTTGTAGTACTTGGCCCGTTTTACCACTGGGGGAATGAGGATCAGAAATGTGGCGTTAAGGGGCGCCTGGGTGGCTCAGTCGGTTAAGCTTTCGACCCTCAATTTCAGGGTCCTGAGTTCAAGCCCCACTACTTAAAAAAAGACGCTCCAGAAACATGGGTCTAACTTACCAGTGGCACACATCTAGAAAGCATGATCTCCTGAGGCCGGATTTGAACTTGTGTTGGCTGATCCAGGAGGCTGCAGCCCCCACTCTGCCAAGACCGAAGGGGAAAGAGATCCCGGCTCTCCTGGAGCTCAGGTGAGATACTGCGGCCCCACCTACCCCCTTCAGGCACCCCTCCCCCCAGGTGCTGTGAGCTGGCTGAGGGCAGCCTCGTGGGGAGAGGCCCCGGCTGTTCCAGGCCTGACTGACAGGAGTTTGCACAAGGCCTTCCTGCTCAGCCTCTTCCCTCACGCGTGCATTGAGGGGTGGGACTGCGAGGTCTGGGAGATGCTCCTGCGAAGAGGGAGTGCTTGACGGAGCCTGGCTGCATCATGAAGTCCTCTTTTCACTCTTGGTGACTTCTGGCCCTGACAGGAACTCCGCTCAGCCGGCTAAGGCCTAAGGGAGTTCCCTGGCTGCCCCTGTGAGGTGATCCAGCCCTCTCCAGGTGTATCCCTCTCAGCTAGCTGTGCTGCCTCATCTGACCCACATCGCAGGGCTGACTCTCGAGGGGCCCGGCTTACGTCACATGCCCATCTCAGAACCTGTGTCCAAGGGGATGGAGCAGAGCTCTTGGCTTTGGTCATGTGCCCCCCGGAGGAGGTGAGTGCCCGCCTCCCTGGCCCCATTCTGGTCCTAGCAGCCACCTTCCTTGTGGACAGAGGGTCCACCTGATATCCTTGAAGGAAGCACATGGTGGTCTGTGAATCAGAAGGGGGAGGCATCTCAGTCCTGGGGAGGGACTCCTGACTGGTTTAAAGCCTGAATCATGGTTATTTGATCCCTCCCCCCCAGTGATTGATTTAACCGTGGACTTGTGATACACTTCTAAGACATGAGGGGAGGTCTGTTGGGAGATTCTGGAAATAGTTGCCTCACTTTTAAAGAAGGCCCTGGATGGAGGAGGGAAACACTCTTCTGGGCTTTGGGTGTGGAAGCTGTTGCAGCCATTCTGTGACCATGAGGCCAACCCAATATACTTCCCTCATGACTCTGCTTCAGGTGGCAGAGCAGAAAGATGGGAAGAACTTTTGGGGGCCGTTTCCCCAAACTTCTTAATTTTTTTAAAAGATTTTATTCTTAAGGAATCTCTACACCCAACATGGGGCTCAAGCTCACAACCCCAAGGGCAAGAGTCACATGCTCCACCAACAGAGCCAGCCAGCGCTCCTTCTCCAGAAAAGTTTAAATAAAACAGGTAGAAGTGCAAGAACGGCACAGTAAACACCCATATGCCCTTCCCCTGGAGTCCCAGTTAGTATTTCAGGAAGCTGATGCCACCAATCCACAAAATGAAACAACTCCTTCCCACTCTACTCCCTGGTTTCACTAGTTTCCTGGTTTTGCCATCCCCCACATTGACTCCCCTCTTGTGACCAGAGGCCTTAGAGGGAATTTCTATTGACTGCATAATTTTTTTTCCTTTGGAGGTGGCTTTGAGGCTAGGGGCTGAAGCTCAGACTCACTGAAATCTGAGCTTGGTCGAGCATAGCGTCCCACCCAGCACTCTCTTGAGATTTCATTTTAGCTATTACAGATGACCATGACCAGGGGATGGTATATGTGGCTTTTGTTTTTTTTTTTTTTTTTTGCTCGCATTTCCTTATGTGTCCAGTAATCCAAGTCCCCAGGAGTCAGAGCCATCTCTAAATTCCATCGGTAACTTTTACCATTAGTAACAGTACAGCTCAGCTGCCCATGGCTACGTGGCCACCCGGGAATCAAAGGTTCCTCTTCCCTGCCCTTCCTTTCTCTTCCCAAACCACATGTTTCCATGAGCCTGGGCGGCTCTAGCAAATCCCACTTCTCCACCAACTAAAAGGGAAAACTGTTTCCTCTACCCACAGAACACTTCTGACACCACATGTGTGGGTTTTCTGCACCAAGCAAGTCTGTAGTTTCAGGCAGACACCAACTGGGTGTCCTAGAATTCAGTTCAGTTCTGGCACTACCTCGAGTTTGTGCAGGCCCCCCAGGTTAAGGGTTCAGTCTCACAAGACTCTCTGCCCACCCCACTTCAGGGGCCCCCCGCCAAGTCCCAGGGGTCACCTGTGCTTTTGACCAACTGGCTATAAATTGGAGATTCCCAAAGCCCCCTTCTCAGATCCAATAATTTGCTGTAACAGCTCACAAAACTCAGGGAAACATTTACGTTTACTGGTTTATTATATAACAAATGATATGTAAGGATACAGATGAAGAAACACAAAGGACGAGGTCCAGGAGCTTCTGTCCCCATGGAGTTGGGGTATGTCACCCTCCCACTACGTAGATGTGTTCACCAGCCCAGAAGCTCCAAACCCTAGAGTTTAGGGATTTTTTTTTTTTTTTTTTTTATGGAGCCTCATCACATAGACATTGATCATAACTCAGTCTTCAGCCCCTGTTCCCTCATTGGAGCCACCGAATTAACGGCCATGGAGACCTTGTTCCAGACTTGTTATGTGAAAGTTTCCCTTAATTTTATTTTTTTTTAAGATTTTATTTGAGAGAGCGAGAATGAGAGAGAGAGAGAGTACATGGGGGGGGAGGGTCAGAGGGAGAAGCAGACTCCCTGCTGAGCAGGGCGCCCAATGCGGGACTCGATCCCGGGACTCCAGGATCATGACCTGAGCCGAAGGCAGTCGCTTAACCAACTAAGCCACCCAGGCGCCCCGAAAGTTTCCCTTAATTTTAAAGCGATTTCCTTTGAGTTTCTGTTACCGCCAAAAACTCTCCTGATACACAGGCCCTGGGCATCTTATAGAAGACATTAAAATGAGGCACCTGGGTGGCTCAGTTGTTAAGCATCTGCCTTCGGCTCAGGTCATGATCCCAGGGTCCTGGGATCGAGCCCCACATCGGGCTCCCTGCTCAGCGGGAAGCCTGCTTCTCCCTCTCCCACTTGCCCTGCTTGTTGTGTTCCCTCTTTGGCTGTGTGTCTCTGTCAAATAAAATCTTTAAGAAAAAAAAACATTAAAATGCACCCACTTCCTGGAAGTCCCACATTAAATATATGTGGGCTTTTTGTTTATACATTTTTGACGTATTTTTATACATTTGTTTTATTTCTTATTGTATTTATATATATTTTTAAAGATTTTGATTATTTTGAGAGAGAGTGAGCGAAAGAGAGAGCACAAGCCAGGGGAGAGGCAAAGGGAGAAGCAGGCTTCCCACCAAGCAGGGAGCCTGATGCGGAACTCGATCCCAGGACCCTGGGATCATGACCTGAGCCAAAGGCAGATGCTTAACCAACTGAGCCACCCAGGCGCCCCTATATGTTTGTTTTAGACATGATGTGACTAGGGGGATCTAAGGTAGGAGTACCCAACCTCTAGGAAGACTTGGACACACTTTGGAAGTAAGAAAATTGAACCCTTGAAAATTGTTCTCAAATGTTTCCACTTTTATGACCGCCAGGTTTTTGTTTTTTTAAAGATTTTATTTACTTATTTGACAGAGAGAGCACAAACAGGGAGAGTGGCAGGCAGAGCGAGAGGGAGAAGCAGGCTCCCCACAGAGCAAGGGAAGCCTGATGCGGGACTCGATCCCAGGACCCTGGGATCATGACCTGAGCAAAAGGCAGTTGCTTAAACAAATGAGCCACCCAGGCGCCCCCCATGACTACCAGGTTTTAAGCCTGAGTGCCGTAAATGCTGATTGACTTCAGCTTTGCAGTTTTAGTATTTTGGAGCCAATACATTTTTTTTCCTTCAGGTCTCAAATATTTTATAAGTTCTTAAAAAGCTCTCAGCTTCCTGTGAGTCTATAATTATGTCAAAAGAAAAACATGAAAAAAATTAAAAGACTCATGCCCGAGCCCT